CTCTAAAGTAGAGCCGACTCATCAGCTGCAACGGCTGTGCGTTGCTCACAAGTGGTAACACAGCCGATGCAGCGCCTCACTCCCCACTCCCCCTGCATTCCCTTGTGCTGCCTGCATGCATGTGATTCCGTTCATAACCTTCCCTTCAGATTCACGAGTACCTCGCAGTGCTTCTGTGGGTTGCCGACACACCAACGCCCATCAAGGGAGGCCCTCACCTGCACTGCCACGCCCCATGTGTGCTGCACGTATGTTTTCCACTCCCCTTCACTCCCTCCCTCCCCATTCAGATTCTCGAGTACCTCGCAGTGCTTCTGTGGGTTGCCGACACACCAACGCCCATCAAGGGAGGACCCCACCTGCACTGCCACGCCCTGCCACGCTGCTTCGCCGTGTCCCCTGAAATGAGCCTAGAGGACGTTTCGGCCATTCGCAAGGCAGTGAAAGGCGCGGTGAGTTAAAAACTGGGTGATATGATTGGATTTGATTTCATATGTAAGGCAAGTTGCGCGCCCCCACCTGCACAGCCACGCCCTGCCGCGCTGCTTCGCGGTTTCCCCTGAAATGAGCCTTGAAGACGTGTCAACCATTCACAAGGCAGTGAAAGGCGCGGTGAGTTAAAAACTGGGTGATTTGATTGGATTTGATTTCATATGTAAGGCAAGTTGCGCGCCCCCACCTGCACAGCCACGCCCTGCCGCGCTGCTTCGCGGTTTCCCCTGAAATGAGCCTTGAAGACGTGTCAACCATTCACAAGGCAGTGAAAGGTGCGGTGAGTTAAAACCTGGGTGATTTGATTGGATTTGATTTCATTTGTGAGGCAAGTTGCGCCCCCCCACCTGCACTGCCACGCCCCGCTGCGCTGCTTTGCCGTGTCCGCTGAGATTAACAATACACCATCCGTGGGGGAACCAAGTGGTACTTTTTGAGAATTCTCAAAAAACACACGACCAAGTGGTACTTGTCTCTTGTCAATGTTTTAGACGATTTAAGAACCCCCCTCTTCCACCTCCCTCCCCCACCCCACCCTCCCTCTTCAGACAGTCAATGACGTCATGCTGACGGTGATCTCTGGTGAAATAGAGCAGTACCTTGCTCTTGTCAACCTTATAGGCGCCTAAATTTTCCAACCATCTCCCCTCCCTCACCCCACCCTCTTCAGACGGTCAATGACGTCATGCTGACGGTGATCTCAGGTGGAATAGAGCGGTACCTTGCTCTTGTTGGCAGTGACACTACAAATGGAGGTACGCTTTTTAGAAATCCACCAAGACCATAGTTGGAGACATTAGTAAAAAAACTGTATTTCTTAGTAAGTAACACAGGCTATCCTACTTTCCCCAAGACGGTCAATGACATCATGCTGTGAATATGTCTTATTCACAGAGCCCTTTCTGTCCATGTCCCTCACAAGACTCATTCCCATGTCTCTCCCCTTTCCTCCTGTATTGACACGGTTCAACCCCCCCCCTCCCATCACTCTCTATCCTTGCTCGATTCTTCTTGAATAAACTCAAATCATTGGCAGCTTTGATCGTCCGTGGCGCATCAGAGGTGTGTTTTAAGGCGCCTCAAAACACATCGTTCGCAGCGCATCAAAGGTCGGCTGCCATCCCATCCCACTATCCCTCCTTTCTCATTTTCCCCTCCTCGCCTCTCAGGGTCCCCATTGCCTCACCGGCTGCGGGTCAGTGCACTAGCACTCTTCAACCTGCGACCAGCACCGGGCCTACAGGTACGGGCTGGCTGCTGCTGGTACGATGTGGTATCATGTGGTACCACGTGGTGCCATGAGCACAAGGTGAGTCAGTGCACTGGCACTCTTCAACCTGCGACCTGCGCCACACCTGCAGGTAGGGTTGCTTCTGTGGTTACCATTTGGTCTGATAATCTTATTTTAGGCGCCTTAAAAGGCGGCTTTTGAAGCGCTCTAAAATACGACCAGCACCAGGCCTGCAGGTAGGGTGTGGCTTTTGTTACTCCCATACGGTATGATGATCTCTGCCTGGCATATCAGTTGAGTTCACAGATACGCCGTGGGAGGATTGGCACCGACACATCAAGGGATGACACGTGGCATGCCCTGACACGCCATGTGCCACAGAGCCGTGTGGGTGCCTCATTTGAGGCGCCTCAAAAGCACGTGGCATGCCTTGACACGCCATGTGCCACAGAGCCGTGTGGGTGCCTCATTTGAGGCGCCTGAAAAGTCAACTTGCGTTTATCCTCACTCACGCCCCACCCTGACCCATCTCACCCTACTCACCCAACCGCCCACCAGGAATTGAGTGAGCTGATGGGGCAGAGGTCGCAGGCACGGTGCGGCAACCAGACCACCTTGGGAGAATATCCTGCTGCTTCTGTCCTAACCCGCGCTTCATCTTGACTCACCCCCTACTCACCCGTCTGTCAGGAATTGAGTGAGCTGATGGCGGGGCAGAGGTCGCAAGCACGGTGGGGCAACCACCTTGGGAATATCCTGCTGCCACTGCCCATCTACAGCAGAGCGCAGGGAAGGAACTACCGGCCGAGCCAGCAGAGTGATTCAAACAAGCCAAGCTGCAGGGCGGGGGAGGGGGAGCGGGAGGGGAAGGTCACGAGGGAGGAGGTGGAGCGGCTGGGCGCAGTGAGGGCGCTGTGTGCATCGAGGAAGGACTCGCTGATGGCTCACTGGACGTACCTGAATGGCCGCTTGCTCATGCCGCTCGTGGGATGCAAGGTGAGATCTCTGGTGGCGATGCTGCTGGCGGATTGTGAGCTGAGACGTGAGATGGGATTGAGTCATGCACTGATAAGAGAGGCTGGGCGCAGTGAGGGCGCTGTGTGCTTTGAGGAAGGACTCGCTGATGGCTCATTGGACGTACCTCAATGGCCGCCAGCTCATGCCGCTCGTGGGATGCAAGGTGAAGTGTCTGGTAGCACTCACGCATCGTAGCTTGGATCAAACCACCCTCTTGCTTTCCAACGTGGTGGGCCCATCCTGTCTTGACTTCTTCCTTGCCCTGTCGCTGGTTGACTTCTTCCTTGCCCTGTCGCTGGTTGACTTCTTCCTTGCCCTGTCGCTGGTTGACTTCTTCCTTGCCCTGTCGCTGGTTGACTTCTTCCTTGCCCTGTCGCTGCCTTGCCTTGCCTTTCCTATCCTTTCTCCTCTTCTCCCCCCCACCACTTCCCGTCTCCCCTCATCAGCCAGTGGCAGCACTCACACGTTGCAGCCTAGATCACACCACCCTCTCACACGTTGCAGCCTAGATCACACCACCCTCTCACTCTCCAGCATGGGGGGGGCACGCACTGTGGACCCCTCTCTTGCTCCATTGTGTTCCTTCCTTCTCTTATCCTCCCCTCCACTTCCGGTTGCTCCCCTTATCAGCCAGTGCCATCGCTCACCCGTCGCAGCCTGGATTGGACCACCCTCTCACTCTCCAGCGTGGGGGCACCTTAAGAAGAAGAGGTAGCTTTGCATGGCGATCCCATCCCTGCCACTTCTTCTGTATATCATCCCATTTTCCCATTATCAGCCAGTGGCAGTGCTCACCCGTCGCAGCCTGGATCATACCACCCTCTCGCTCTCCAATGTGGTGGGGCCGTTAGAAGAGGTGGCACTGCACGGCCACCCCATCTCTGCCATCATTCCTTCAGTCTACGGCAGTAACCATGTGAGTGTAGCTTTACCTCTATCTTTGTGCATGCATGAGAGTGAGTGGGTGATTGAGCCTTTTCTTGAAGTTATTCGACAGGTACGCTAAATGTAGAAGGACGATATCCTCTTCGCGTCTTCATCATGCAATTTAAATCTGTCTTTGTTTTGGCATCCTCACCAGGCGCTCACGTGTCACATTCAGACATACAAGGGAGCTGCTCGCGTAGTGGTATCTGCGGTTAAGCAGCACGTCTCAAACCCACACCTGCTCTGCCGGTGCTTCTTTGAGGCGTTTCAGCAACTCAAAGAAGAGGCAAAGACGATTGTCTAGCTTGACTGTTTCAACAATACCCACTCACATGTCACCTTCAGACATACCTTGTACAGAGCATAGCAGAGCAGCCCGTATAGTGGTGTTTGCTGTAAAGCAGCACGTGCCAAATCCCCACCTGCGCTGCCAGTGCTTCTTAGAGGTGTTGTGCCAACTGAAAGAAGAGACCATGGTGATGGTCTAGCTTGGCTGTTCAGCACCAGGCCTGTCGCTACGAGGGCATTTGCCCTTTTTGCCCTTGAATTCACGTGCTTGTTTGAGCCCAACTCAGAATTCAAGTGCTGGCTTTGAGGCCAGCCCTTTTTCCTTAAGGGCTGGTCTACCTCCTAACCCAGATTTCACGTACACGTTCAGAGCCCATCCCCACCCCCGCACCCCCTCGTTCCCTTGTTATTCATTCCCTGCTTACGTAAAACACCTTACCTACCAGCTCCCCCTCTGCAGTGAAGATTGGGTTATATATCTGCTATGTTCCGCAGCCCTTAGGTGTATTGGAACATTAACCTACTTTCACGATGTGTTAACACTCAAGTGCAGAAGGATGTGTAGCCCTGAATCTAAGTGTTGAAATCGGGCTCAACCCGGAAAATTAAGGGCTGAAATTAGGCCACCTCAGCCCGCTAACTTCTTCGGCCAGGGCAAGCGACAGCCCTGTTCAGCACATGTTCAAGTGTCACTCGCACACCTACATATGCCTACTGCTAGCTGTAGCGCAGCATGACCCAACCCATGCTCCCACCTGCACTGCCAGTGCTACGGTACCTTGGTACAAAGGTGATCGTGGGAGATCTTCACAGAACATGGTACAAAGCTAGACATTATTTATTTATTCCCTGAACCTTGTACAGAAGAGCACAAAATTTGTCGCCTTCTACTAGCAGAATTCCTAGGCGGGTTTGGCGCTCCAGCAGCCATGCCATACTGGGTGTGCTTGTGACTGCTACAAAATCTCCTGCTGCTGCTGCTGCGACTCCTACTGGCGCTGGCAATTAGGTACGCTTTCAGAAACTAAGAATTCCTACTGAAGCCCTAGCGCGACAGGCGGAGCCAGGAGTTGACTTGCGTGAAGGTGTTGGCGTCGTATCCGCTGACGCTCGTGATGATCCCAGGGTCCACCCAGTCCGCGCGGGAAGCCGCGGCGCCCGGCCCCTTGCTGCCCGCCTCCGCCAGAAACATGCAGCTGCCCTCGTTCCACGACAGCCACCCGTCCCTCTCGATCACCTGAGGAGGGGTGGATGGGGATGGGAGATGGGGATGAGTTTACGAGGTGGGAACGCTTTGAACAAACATGCTACTGCCGTCGTTCCACGACAGCAAGGTACTTGTTCGAATGGTTCAGCGCCGACTCAGAGACACGACGGAAACGGAAACGGATACGGAAACGGAAACCGCGCAGGCAGAAACGGGAAGGAAGGAAACGTACCGCGGGGAGAAAGGTGTTGATGAAAACCGTGAAGGCGCATTTCTTCCACGGACGGCCCAGATACACCTTCTTCGTGCCGCGATCCGCCGAGACAACAGCGTCGCGAATCACGATCCCCGTCGGGGTGTCCTTGGCCCGTCCCGACGCAGTTAGGGTCCCGAAAGAGGGGCTTGGGTGAAGCTGAATCTTGGGCGCATCGATAACCACGGCCGCGTCGCCGAAAATGAAGTCCTGCGAGCCGCCAATGTAGCAGTTTTTGTAGTATTGGCGGCCCGCGTCCACATACAATGTATCTTGCGATCCGTCGAACGCGCAGTTGAAAAGAGCTGTTTGGTCGCCGGTGGCGCGAAACGCAACTGCTTGGTGATTCTCGGGGCCTGCCGTGTTGACGAACTTGATCCCGAAGGCGACGAACCTGTTGTGTGGTTACCAGGTGGGTGCGTACATTATGGGGCAAGGGCAGAGAGGGAAGAGAGGGAAGCTGTGCGTGAGAGAAGAAACGAAATTACATAAAGGGGGGGAGGGAGAGAATTGGGCAGAAAAGGGAGGCAAGGACAGAAAGGCGAAAGGGCGGCGGCATTACCTGTCGCTATCCACCCCAACCGTAGCCGACTCGAACGTCCCGGATCCGCTGCCGTAGCTCGCGTCGCCCGTGATGATCGTCTTACCCGTGCCCGCACCAATCAGAACGATATCCGTCGTCGAGATAACAACCTGCTCCTTGTACGTTCCCGCGGGAATGTAAATCACGAATCGCGTGCCGCCGGGAGCGGCATCAACAGCGTCCTGGATCGACTTGTATCCGGATCCGACGGTCGCGCTGGCGGCGAGAGACGCGCTGACGACCATCGGACCCTGGTTGGGTGACGCCTTCTTCTTGCTGCTCTTGCTGCTCTTCTTGCTGCTGCTCTTGCTGCTCTTCTTGCTGCTCTTCTTGCTGCTCAGCTCTTGCTGCTATTACTTTTCTTGTCCTTCTTATCCTTCTTATCCTCGTCATCATCATCATCGTCGTCGTCGTCGTGGCGATGGCGCAACTGCCTCCTCGAGATAGAGCCGCTCTCCGAATCCTCCTCGCCCGCAGTGGCGAATTCGGCGTTCAGCCTCGTCTGGAGCTCCTGCAGTTGCTCGTACAAGCCCGCCTCAAGCCAATCCATCGCGCCGTTCCCCGAGCTGCTGGATCGGACGGCCATGCGGCGTCCGCGCACGGGCGCCACATCCTCCTCCGTTGACGCGACGCTGGTAGCGGCGGATGCGGCGGCTTTTGCGGCGGCGTTGGTGATGGATAAGAGAGCGTCAAGAGTGCTTCCCGCTTTCTTCGCCGTATACTGCGGAGGGGATTCGGAGACGTGGAGGAGGGGACGGGGATTCAGAACGGATAGTAAACCAGTGTTGCTGTTGCGCGGAGAAAAGAAAAGCACGTGCAAGAAATGCAGCCGAATGATTGTTTATTCGAGAAAACAGTGGTAACGAACCTCGAGATGTACGTAAGCGGGGAAGCCTTGCGCGGCGGGCGAGAAAGTCTGGAAGCCATCGACGCAGTTGTCGATCTGCGTATCGGCGGCAGCCAGCCAGTACGGCACGTCGAGCTGATTCGTGCCCGCCTCCACCGCATCTCCCGCCTGCCCCAGGTAGCGCAGCGCGATGGTGGCTTGGCGCGCGCAAGTCCTCGCCATCACATTTGTAAAATGGTCTTCCCGCACGTTGTTGGTCTTAATCTCATCGGCTGCCTCGATCAGCGCCGCGACTTGCGCTTTCACCGCTGCGATCATGGCTGAGGTGACTTGCTCAGGCGTCTGCGGCACGACGCCTAGGGATCGCCGCGCTACGCGGAATTCTGCCGCGCAGTGAGTTCCGTTGGATGAAGCGATGCAAGCGTCGGGGTGGGTAAGAACGAAATAGTTGTCGGCCATCTGGCAGCAGGAGATGACGGCCAGAGAGAGGCCCAGTCCGGCGAATGCCCATATCGCAGCCTTTTTCATCCAAGCGATCTCCATCTGGCGAAGAGAATGAGCTCACAAAGAAGAATCTAATAGACTACTCGCAGGATTAACAATAGAGGTAGTAAATGTCGCCTCAGCAGCACTGGAACGATGGAATGGTGGAGATGAGACGTAAGCACCACTGATGGTGGTTGATGGATGTTGAACTGATAGCTGATGGTACTTAGGATCGCGTATTTATGTGAGCTTCTGTTAGGAAACTGTGAGTGAGGTAGGGCGTAGGGCGCGACGCGAGTGGTGTAGCGAAGGCCAATCTGGTAGGAGTCGCCGTGGGGAGGGGTAGATAGGTTATCGCGGCTCGATTTGATAGCTAAAGAAATCGAACCGCGAAAGTTCAGCCCAATCATTGGCTGTTACGGAGCGCGGAGGGGCTGATTGCCCCGCTGCGATAACGACTAGACGACGGTCGAGCACCTACGAAAATTGCATTCAACAGTGTGTCAATGCGAGTGTTTCTTTCCTGCTTCACCAATCGGGAGGGAGTTGTCCAGTAACCAGAATGGGACGGCCAGCTCGATATATTCACGCCGCCCAGCGTCTCGGCCCCAAACGGACATCCACGAGGCAAATGGTAACACCAGGGACGTGAGGCGACGCGAGACACCATGCTTGTACCGATACATGACCTGACTAATCAGGAAAGCGAGTGATTGTCTGAGAAGGGAGCTGTACCGATACATGACTTGACTAATCAGGAAGGAGAGGTGATTGACTACCACTGTACTGTCACTAGCATGATACATTACTGTAGCATCTTACAACGGAAATATAAATATTTACCTACCTTTTACATCACTCTGCTCTGGTTCAGCGATCATGTAAAGACATAGCAGAATTTCTTGCATACATCTTCCTCGTCTCTTGGATATGATGATCAGCAAGTCCAACACCTTCCATGTACCAGATTGTTACTTCAAAAGGGGCATTTTGACTCCTACAGAAAAACGAGATCAACTGCGTTGGAGTCTGGAGAACTGTGATGACAGCTGTGACTATAGAACTCAGGATGACGTATCTAACCCGAATAGACAGCAGACCACATGTGGCTACAGATAAATGTATACCCAACCCAACCCACATTGGTACTGTCAAAGCTTGAATGAAACCCACCAATTTCGAACTGTACCCAGCACACGTGTTGTAAGAGCCCTCAGACCTGATCAGAAAAGACTGAAAATACATGCACATCAAAATCAGAGTGGAAAAGGGTGGACTAAATCCTTTCCGCAAAAGGAGAACCAAAGCCGAGGCAGGCGGCAAGAGCGGACAGGCATCACAGTGGGTGCTCAATCGGACGTCCGTATTCTTTGAATTGAGCAGCAGCAGCAGGGATGAGTGGAGAGGAGGTGGGGTATGGTCTGGTGTAGCAGCAATGCTCGGAGGTGCCCCAGCAGCAGGTACCAGAGTTGGGAGGAAGAGCCACACTCAACCCTTATTGCAAGTCACTGTGTTCATTGCCAGTGATGGAAAGTCACTGCAGGTCACGCGGCCCGGGAGGGAAGACTGTGGCCGGAGCAGCCACAGCCAGAGGCTTCCTGCTCCTCAGATTCACCTGCCCCTTGCGAATGAACGAGTAAACCGCCCTCCCGTAGTGCTCGTTCCTCACTGTCCTCGTGCTGGCCCTCCAATCACACGCCTCCGCGTCCTGCAACCCTGCCTCAACTATCGCCTCTCGCATTTTCTTGGATGTCACTAGCTGCCGAAGCTTGCCGACCGCGTCGTCCACGTCGCCCGGAGTGAACAGGAACCCGTTCTGCCCCTCTCTGTTCACAATATCTGGGATTCCACCTGCCCGGGCGGCGACAACAGGCACGCCTGATGCCATAGCTTCTAGAACCACGTTTCCCAGCGTTTCTGTTTCCGAAGGGGTGATGAAAATGTCTCCTGATGCGAATGCACGGGAGAGGTCAGCTCCTTGCTTCATGCCGGCAAAGACTGTGGGTGTGCCCGCAAACAGTCTCTCCAACTCGCCTCTGTGGAACCAGCAGCAGCAAGGAACAGGGGGGTGAAAGGCGGAGAGCAAGGGGGCAAGAAAGTAGGGTGAGTGACCATTTCGACTTGAGAATGCCTTTCAAGTCGCAAAGACTGAGGAAGAGTGCTTTGAAAAATCAGTGCTTGGATTCACTTTTTTTTTAATTTTAAAGAAGACCAGTGGCAAACAAGGGAGGGGAGGAAGGGAAAAGGAAAATGGGAACCTCAAACAGGGATATGGATAAATATTGTCACCTCAGTTCTTCAATCTTGAGAAATAGCTAGTAGTACGCCCCAGAAACTCGCGGAAACATTCACATACCTGTGTGGGCCATCCCCGATGAAAGCAAGGCGTGCCCCTGGAAGCTTGTCCAGCATGCTGGTGGGAGGGACAGGAGGAGAGGTGATGACAGGAGATTGGGGAGGGGAGGAATGGTGCCTACGCCAGCCAAGAAACCTCTTAGTGGATTCTGCCTTTAAGCGTGATGTGAACCAGTGTTAAGACTGGCATTGGTGCGAACCGGAGTGAACACTGGCATTGGTGCGAAGTGGTGTGAACAGTGGCATTGGTGCGAACCGGTGTAAACCAATGTGAACTCAAGTGGTGAGAGGATGGAGGGGGAGAGGGGGAGACTTTGACTCAGCTTTTGCGGTAGCTAATAGCAAACTCAGATTAGCCAGTCAACACACAGATTGATTCGAACAACTCGGTTTGGTTGATTAGTCTGACTTCGGTTGGATCAGTCTGCTCAAATCAAAGTTTGTGGAGACATACTCACGACTCAATCAGCCATCTCCTCCCGTTTCTTACAAAGCAACCTACACTCTAGACAGCACTCACGGTTTGAGCAGATGAAGGTTCTTCTCAGCACCCAGCCGCCCCACGTGCACAATAAGTGGCTTGTCCACCTCCCCCCCGCTGTAGCACACGCAGTAGAATATGATGTGGGGATGGATAGAAACGAGGACAACAATATGAGGAAACTCAAAAGTGACTCGAATAAAAAATTAGGAGGTTCTTTGGAGGAAAAAAAACACACACACACACAGACAAAGCACCCTGAGAATCCACTACCTAGGTTCACAAACACCCACATGCCTGCATCAATGCTAACCCCTGCCGACCCATAAAACTGCTAGAACTCAGGTTAAACTTGTGCAAACTCACGCCCATCTGCCTGCTGCCTCAACGCAAGACTAGCCCTTGGCGCGTCACATACAACTCATGTATACTTGAGGAGCTTCCGTGTCTCCTGGTCTCAAAACCTCGGGTTGAATGAACTGGTGAGAATTCACTGCCTTCGGCCACACGCCCATCTGCCTGCGTCCAGAGTGCAGACAGAAGTGACCCATCTAACCCTTGCCTTGTGTCACCACAGCTAACACACACACCTGAGCATCTTCCGTGTCTCCTGGTCTCGAAACCGCGGGTTGAACTTGTGGGAATCCACTGCCTTGGGCCACACGCCCATCTGCCTGCTGCCACCTGCACCAGAAAACAGCAGTAACGAGAGATAGTGAGAGTGGGGTAACAAGCAGAAGCTTCTGATCCAGTCCGAGCAAACAGAAATAAACTGCTTTCTGCACAAAAAGGTAGGGCCACGAGGAGGGAGGGAGAACAACCAGGCTGATTGAAGCCAGCATGCAGGAAACTCTGGCCCTGGTTTGGCATCGTCCTATGTCAGATAGGACTTACCAAGGCCTAGACAGAGGCAGCAACGCGTACCTGCTGTGGCGTTGTGCTCTTTAAGCTCCTTTGCCAGCTCATGAGATGTCGTGATGGCATGGTCCGCCCCTCGGTGCAAGTAGCCTGGAAACAGGGATTGGAAGAAACCCAGATAAATATGAAAATAGAAGCAAACAAACAAGCAAACAAACAAAAGAACCGAGGCTTGACAAAGAAAAACGTTAGAAGGTTGAAAGCAAGGAAGCACTGTTTGCAAGAGGACACAAAAGGAGTTGTGACTTGTGGGACACCGATCAACACAACTTACGGATAACTTTCCACATTGGCTCCACTAGTCCTGGAAAAGTGTACTTCGGTATGTACCTGTGAACAGAACAGCAGCCAGCAATGTTGCACATCTTTTGAGTCGCCTTACCAAAAGGGGTGGAATCGTAGGGGGGCGTTACGCTGGCACGTGTGTGTGTGTGTGTGTGTGTGTGTGTGTGTGTGATACGGCAGCAGGAAGAGTGTGTGTGTGTTACAGAAGACTACGATTGAGCAAAGGTGCACGGTAGGGTAGGAGGGCATTACGCTGGCACGTGTGTGTGGTACGAGAGCATGAAGGGCGTGTGTGTCATCTTTGCTGTTGCCATGGCTCCAAAACACTGCCAGTCAAGGAAAAGGGATGTAGTGGTACGAAGAATGGTTCTATGCACTGAAATCCGTTCGCCTGCACAGTCAGCTTTGCTGTTGCTGTCGGTATGAATGCAATGCGATGCAATCAAGGACGACGCTTGCAGACTGTAAATTCAGTCTCATTGCTTGCCCTCCCTACATTGCTTGTGTCAGGGTTCTGACTTCCTTCATCTACAATCTTGGAAACCTTCTGACTTTCAAAAATAGCACTTTCTATTTTTGTGCTAAGAAACCAACCCTGGAGGAGATGTGGAGTGCATAATGCCAGCCTTGTAACTTTCTTCATCTTCACTGCTTCTGACTTTCAATGTAAGCATTCTCTTAGTTTGTGCTAGGACACCCACCATGCCTCCTAAGATTTCGAGTGGATAGTACCAGGCTTGTAAGATTCTTCACCTACAGTCCTGCGAACCTGCTGTTGACATTAAAGGATAGCAATTTTTTTTTTCAGGCTCAATAACCCACCATGATTCCTGGAGAGGTGGAGCGGATGATGTCAGGGCTTGTGCTGATACTTCACCTACAGTCCCCCGAACTTCTGATATTCAAGAGTGACACCTTGAGACTAAAAAACTCACCATAATTCCTGGAGACGTGGAGTGGATGATGTCAGGCTTGTGAATCACTTCACCTACATTCCCTTGCAATCAAGAGTAATACCTTCTTCTGAGGCTAAAAGACTCACCATGATTCCTGGTGAGGTGGAGTGGATGATGTCAGGCTTGAACTTAGCCACTTCGGAAACGATTCGTGGGCTGAATCCCAGCGCGAGAGGGACATTCATGTACCACGGGCAGGGGAAACTGAAAAAAAAGACAAAGAAACACAGGAATGAAAGAGACGATAACAAAAACGAATCAGCTTCAAAGTCGAGTGACCGGGGACACTTGAAAATAATGGCTGGACCGAAGCAGCTCCATCAGCAGATTGAGGTACAGAAGATGGTACCTTAGAGAAGGTATTACTTTTGCTCCAAGAAACTCTTTGGGAGCTCCCTTGTGAGTGGTCACCACAAGCACCTGCACAGAGTCACGGAATCTCCATTAGCATGATAACGGCTGAAATTTGAGCGGAGGGGGAACAAGTGGGGGAAATGGGAAGGGTGGGTGGCGCAAGGGGGATAGGAGTGAGAGGAGAGAGAGAGGGGAACAAAGAGATGCGAAGTTGGCATTTTATCTGGCAAACGTTAACTCTCTTTTAGTCTTACCTCGTCGCCCATATCCCGTAAGTGGCGAATGAAATTTTGGAATCGCGTCATGTAACCACATACATATCTGCACCACAAGCGAACCGGGAGCCGTGAGTAAGACGACAAGGGTTGCCATCCAAGGGAGCCGATAGTAGGCTAAGAATCCGTAACACTTGACGGATCGCGTCGCAACCCTTACGCGAACGGCGAAGGTTCCACGAACAACGCTACACGTCGCTTGCTTCGCGACCACTGCTTGCAAAAATCGTCGCATCCCGCATCCATTCGTTCCGTGGACGACAAGGCTTCACCATTGGTCAATTCTGCCGCGGAGCCTGACGGCACCAATCTCTCTTCCACTTGCATATCTGGGCTCACTCCCCAAGGTATGGCTTTAAGCAATCGCTCCGCAACCATCGCGATCACAACAATCAGGAGAGTAAGCGCCTTCGAGATACTTATAAGAATTTCCAGCCTGCTAACCGTACGGAATCGACTAATTGCTTTTATACTGTCACTGCTGAAGAAAACCATTCAATGGTTTCGAAGAAGCTTGAAATTGAATGGCCGAAGTTGAAAGTCGCGACGGAGCAGCAGCAGGTTAGAACGAGCCAAGCAAGCCAGAAAGCCCAAGAAGAGAGGGATGCATGAGGCGAACAAAAGTGGCGGGAAATCCAATCTCGAGGTTGGATTGGGCAGGGAGCAGGCGGGCAGGCTGGGGACCTTTCAGCCATGCGTCTTGCGTGTCACCCTTGGTATCTCCGCCAGAGCCATCCACAGCAGCGAACCAGTGGCTCAAATTATCTGTTTTTCCATTCCCTAGACGAGCCTTGAACACTTTCGGTGCTGGCGTGTTTTTATGGGTTGGACGAATATTCCTTACAGTAGTATCTCGGGGAAAGATGCCGTACTTTGAATCAAGTCAGGAACAGTCCGATCAAATGTCATGTTTTGAACTGTATACTGGTACATAATGGTCAATCTCCTAATGATTCCATTCCATTCCATGTCCAGTTGTTTATTTACATGGCTGCTTTTCTCTGTGATGTGTCCAGTTATTTGTTTACTCTACAATTAAATGCCCTAACTCGTTACACGAGGTCATAGCTTATGATTTATTACGCTTTGTTCTACAAAATAACCCACTTGTCATAACTCTTTGCTATGTTATAATCCTAAGCCAAGTTAGGGCTTAGGTTTAGGAAGGAGAAATGGAAGAAGAGGGGGTTTGCAATAGCAGGCAGGTGGGATACATGTAGGAACCCTAAAAGGGTTGTACTGTCTGTTGGGTACCCCACTACAGCCTAAAGAGCAAATAACAATTTGACACACCCCCATAGGCGAAGTGGGGGATAGCCAACACAACAAGCAGTCGTAGAACCAGTTCACAAGCAAAGCCTAGTGGCAGAAGCAGAAGGCAAGTGAGAAGGAGGAGGAAAATGGAGAGGAGAGGAGGTGGGCGTGTTAAGAAATGAGGAATGAATGAACTAGCACAAGGTTGGGTACAAGTAGGAAGCCCTAGGAAACTGTACCCCATAGTGTCTACCCCACTATAGCCTAGACAATCTATATGATATGAGTTTGACACACCCCCATAGGCAAAGTGGGGGAGAACAAGAGGTCACAAGACCAGTCAAGCAAAGCAAAGCAATCTCAGGGTGGATCACAACGTCACCACACAATCCGAGCACAAGAGCAAGGCCACAAGGCCAGTTCACATGCAAGATCATATATAAAGGTAAACAGGCAAGTGCAGGTATAGAAAGATCACAGTACAAGCAAGGTCAAGAACTGAGCAAGACCTAGGATCGTACAGAAGCGCTGATGATCACCAGGTGGAAGTGCCTGTCAGAATGAGGAATGGATGTTGCATTGATGTTGGTTGGGGTACATATAACAAACCCTAACTTCTGTACCCCCTAAGACAAACCTCACTACAGGCTACAACATTTGACACACCCCCATAGCCTAAGTGAGGGGTGTCTAGCAAAAACAAAAAAGAGTACGGTCACAAGACCAGTCCAAAAGAAAACAAAGCTCAGGGTGGATCACAACGTCACCACACACTCTGAGCACAAGCAACAGTGGCCACAAGGCCAGTCCAAGAGATCACAAGTATATATAGTAAGTGTACAGACGAAGCAGGCAATAAACTCAAGTCTACGCATGACTAGAACCTGTGTCAACAAGGCCTAACTGGACACAACACCTCTGGTGGTCACAAGGCGGAAGCGCCTTGGTGAAGATGTCTGCAGTGTTGGCCTCGGACTCTACAAACTCGAAGCGAGCCTGTCCACGTCTCTGCAACTCTCGCAGAAGAAAGTACCTGACGTGAATGTGCTTCACTCTGCTCTCCAGTCGCGGCTCACGACAGAGGAGGATCGACGCCTTGTTGTCAGTAAACAAGGTCGGTGCAGAGCTCGGCCGCTCACCAAGGTCGGCGAGCAAGAAGGTCAACCACCGCAACTCCTGTGCCGCCATGGCACCAGCGTAAATCTCAGCCTCAGCTGTAGAGGTCGAGACAGAAGAGGAGCGCGTGGAACGCCAGGAAACAGCTCCAGAACCCAGACTGAAACAGTACCCCTGAGTAGACCTGTGAGTCTCAGCGTCGTCAGCGTAAGAGGAGTCACAGTGACCAGTGAGTACGACAGACTGCTGCCCTCCAAGAACTAGCCCCACGCCTGATGTAGTCGCTAGGTACTTCGCCACCCTCACAGCTGCCGTCCAGTGAACAGGACGGTGTCTCCCTGGCGCAACAAAGCGCGCAAGGATGCTGAGAGGGAAGGCGAGGTCCGGGCGAGTACAAGTCATCAGGTACATGAGGCAACCCACAAGCTCTGCGTAGGGACCACTAGGCTCAAACGGCTCGTCAGGAAAGGGACCAGTGAGTCTGTGGTCAACAGCTAGAGGTGTGCGCTGTACGGTGGAGTGCTGAAGCCCGAACCGCTGAAGGACCTACTACACCATGTGTGACTGTGAGAGTGTAATGGTGCGAGCGGCTCTGTCCCTGGTGATCTGCAGGCCAAGGTAGTGGCACAGCTCACCAAGATCAGTGCACGTGTGTCTCTTCTGCAGTTCGGACTTCACGTCTGCCAAAGCAACCCTGTCCGAAGTGGCGAAAACGAGGTCGTCGACGTAGACCAGAACAAAGAACGGTGTGGAGCCACGACGAACGAACAGCGACGGGTCGGCAGAAGACGGCTGGAACCCAAGGTCAGAGAGGGTAGAACGCAGAGTGTCGTGCCACTCACGAGGGGCCTGGCGAAGACCGTAAACAGGTCGCCTCAGCCTCCACTGGGTCCCAGGAGGGAAAGTGCCAGTGAAGGCCGAGGGACGACGCAACCAGACCTCCTCGTGTAGACTGCCCTGAAGGAAAGAGTGGAGAAGTCAAGAGAGTGTAACTCGTAGTCTCTCTGTGCTGCTACGTGTAGTAACACCCGAAGAGTGGTCATCTTCGGG